GAACAAACTACGACTCTCTTGCCCCTTTCGCGATATCCACCGTACAAAGTACAAATTCGTCCCGTGCACCTTTCCCAACCTTTTCCACAGGCCTAAGAACACGGAGGAGGGCAACTATATACGACGTTGTCTTCCATTCGCTGCTCCGACGATCTTGGGAAGGAGAAAAAGAGTTTCGAAAAACTCTTCGAAGCAAAGTGTCCTGGCAACCTGGGGGGAGATCGTGACCGATAGATCATCTCGACTCCCTGGCTGTGTCGTAATACCTCGACAACTATACTTCCACCTTCGGTACCAGTTCTCCGCTCGTGATCGATCTCGAACCATAGATCATTCCGGTGGGACGTTTCTCGCTCGATCGAGATTTGCTGATTTTCCGTTCTATCCAGATATGTACCAAGATCGAGAGAGTCTAGGAACGAGTCCGGTCGGAACGCACGGATCCAGAACGAGATCGAGATGCGTTTCGCCGTGGCGAGCTAGAAATCGAACTCGCGTGGAATATGTTTTTTCCACTCGACGAGAGACGCGATATCTTTATTCGTGGAAAGAGAACAAGCCCGCCAAACACCTGCGCGTCTGGTTGTCTGAATACGGTACCGGTGAATAACGATCGGAGGAATTTCTCGTTATTCCTCCGTAACTCTGGGTGGCTTCCTCCGGCTGGTAGAACACGATCCTTCGGGAACAGAGTTATCGATCGGATGAGCGAGCAGCGCGCTGGTGAACGGACAATGATCATGGCGACCTTGAGAAGAAGGCAACGTTTGTTCGCGGATGCAGCGCGCGCGCGCCCGACATACCATCGTATTTTCTCACCCGTGAAGATCGAGCCACCGCGCTTTTTTTCCACGCAGCCGGAGAGGAGAGGAGGGAGAAATAGAGTTCGCGACGATCCAAGAGGAGATCGCCGTGGCGACCGTTCCGATCGACCGACCCGATAAATATAATTAAGGAGACGGGAAGCTGAAGGGCCCTCGACACGGAAGGCCACGACCGCTTTATCATCCGCTGTATCTGTATCGCCGATAATCGCCGTCATCGTGGAGAAGGGATGTTAATAAGAAGACGTCGTGCGCGCGGAAGGAACTTGGTCGAGTCACGACCAGGACTAACGATCCGCGTTCCAAAAAGTATAGAGATACGTATATTCCGAGACGATCGTGGCCAGTGGGTGAGGAATTTTACAAAAGGCCTTCCTTCTGTAAAGGAGCCAGAAAGAGGAGCATTGTTATGCTAAGTGAAAAGACAGAGAGAAGTGTCCTGGATAGGAAAGGAGCGTCGACCAATAGAGAGAGGCATGCCGGGGGACAGCTGTTGTTCGTCCCAGAGGCAGCTGCGACGCCCTGAAATCCCTCGGAGGGCGAAGAAAAATTGTGAAAGAATCGTGTGTCGTGGAAGGATCAGCTCGAAGCGGAAATCTGTGGGGAGGATCGAAGGAAGGCGTTTGGCTACAAGTCCAAAGTGGTGGAAGGAATTCTTTTTACGAGCCAGCCAGCTCTCTCGAGTCAGCCTGGCACGATCTCGCGCCACGATTTTCGAGATTCCTATCGTAAAAAGTGAAACGGATCGTGCAGAGGAGAGTTGGACGCGCGTTTCGAGAACACGACGTCCTTAACCGTTTACGAACAAAGGCCACGAGGAATACGACAAACCGGATACGCGCGATCCTTTTACCTAGGAGATGCAGCGACCGCGATGCACCCCGAGAGAGATCTCGTTTTCCCCCCTCGACGGAAGGTCATCGACGACCGGATCGCGAGCAAGCCACGAACAAGTAGGCAGCCAGGCTGTCGCACTAATTGCAGGTGCCGTTACCGTTACTTTCCAGATGGCATGCCCGTTTCTGTCGCCGCGCCTCGCGTCACCAACCGGGGCACGTTCTCCGTGAACGTAACCGGAGAATCCTTGGATTTTCCAATCTCCCCTACTCTCCCTCCGACTAGTTTCGATTTACGAAATTACCAGCTTACGACATTCGAAAGAAGTAGGCCGGCTCCAGCGTAATTATAGAAGGACATATCCAGGTAAACGGTCGGTGAACGCGTTCGTTTGGCAAACGAGGTAGGTAACGTATCCACCTATTATAAGGGTATAAATATCGAGTGGCAAGTGCATAGCGGACGGTCTCTGCATTCTCAGTCCGGCCACAAGCTATTTTCAACCCACGCTAAACTCTCTCGCTCTCCTCCGCTTTGCACCGGTCCCCACTTATCTCCGTGTATTCTAAGACGCGACCCCCGATACCATAAGAAGCACCTGCCCTGCCATCCCTCAACTGCCGATTCAATTTGCTCTCACCTTTGCACCATATCCCACCATATGTACGTGTATGTATATCCACCGACAAACTCCGTTACGTCTACCCACAGACCTACTACCAACCTACGGTATTTCCATTCCTTTTTCGCCCGGTCATATTTAAATAAGAGATATCGTCGCCGTCTTTCCCGTGCACGCGACAGATCCATTTTGCTCTCAGAGTCACGCTTCGGTAACGAATTTACACACGTAGCTGGTTGGGAACAGTTTGCCGTTTCGTTGGCGAATCGTGGAAAGCCGAGGGGCGCGCGTTCCAGACGTGCCGAAACGTCTTTGGAATTTCCGCGCGTACAAGGTAGCGCGAGCATGCTCCGGGGAATCATTAATAATCGTAGGGCTGAGTCACGGAGTCGAGGATCGCGTTAACCGGCGCGCCGCGGCGTTCTCAGATAGGAGAATCGTAAGAGTTTTCTTTGTTCTAAACGAGCCAGCCGATCCTCCGTTCGAGGAGAGGAGATACTCGATTCGTCCAAGGTGGAGTAGCGCAGCATCGTCTCGGCGGCGAGCAAGGCAAAAGTAAATCGACGTTAAATGCCAAGACTGTGACGAATACGAGCAACGACGAAGAACGCGGGTAAGTATCGATTACGCGCGCGAAATCTCTTAATTGGTGGGAACGAAATGACGCGCGCGTTCCTCTCGCTTTATTTACATTCACCAATAACGCCCGATACAGCCGTAATATTTATATCTGGGCAACGTTCGACGAGCGATACATTATGTATGTATCATACTTACGTACTCGTAGAGCGAGAGTCCCCCGTGGAAAAGATCGGTGGAAAACGACCTCGGCAATTCCAGTGTCGGCCAATTTAATTCTCTCGCTGGAGCGTTACGCAACGTCGAGTTTTTCGAAGAATCCTCGGTTGTTTGCATTCCATTCGTTAACAACAGACGCGAATTAATATCGAGGTCTGCGAATACGTAGCACTTGGCCAAACAATCTCGACGATCGTTTCCGCGAACCGCACGTACGCGTAATTAAGGGTATCGAAAATACGACGTAAGCTGCGGATTGAAGTCTCGGTGGTTTAATACGAAACCGTGTTGCATACGGCTCGGCGTATAAATCTCGAATGCAGCAGGTGTTTAGTAAGCAGCTGTTATTTCGCATTCGTAGCTAACGCCTAACGACCGACGATCCTGATTGACGGCTGCATAAATCTTTGCAACGGTTAGCACCTTTGAGAAATAACTCGAACGTATCCGGTCGTTGGGAGAATACTAATAGAGTGTTGGGTCGTTAAAGATAAATATTAATGCCGGTTGGTAATTTATCAATTGAAAATCTCCAAGGCTTAGGATCTATCGCGATGTCTGCGATCGATATATCGGATTAAGCGCGAATAACGAGAACGACGTTGATACGTGTAGCGACAACAAACATCGTTGTCGGTGGCCTACATTGCGAAAGAGTGCAACGAGAATATCGTTTGCAGCAGTTCGCTACCTACTTCCAGTAATCGGCGAACAAAAGGACCGCAAATGGAAATAGCAGTGGAGCAAATCGGGGATGAATGCGCGATTGCTCGCGACCGTAATCGAGTCTCTCCTCACTTTTTCCACCAAATTTTGTTACGGTCGATACGTCCGTTCGCTCTCTCGACGAGAAAAAAAAGAAACATATACGGCTGCTAGCTCGCCGCGTCCCTCTCGATGTACACGTATACATATACATATGCGAACGCAACTTTTCCTTTCGCAATGCTATTCGAATCGAGTGTCCCTTCCGAGCCGGAGACATTGTTTTTCGATATCAACATACGCACACATTCCTCGTGCACTCGTGTCTCTTGTTGCCACGCGATTTTCTAGAATCTCTTAACCTTGGCGACGGTCGAACCATCGCGATAATAACTAATCTACGCCGTTTCTTCTCAAGTGGTTTTATCGGTGATTAGCTGGCAGAGGGTATAAAAGAACGGAGAGGTTCGTTTTGCGAAACGATTAATGCTAGAGTTAGCGAATCAACTGTGTCGTACGAGCGACGCGCGACCCGATTCGATGATTTCTCTTCGACGATCTCTTACGATCCGAGAGTCATTCAGGACACCCGGAGAAGCGTGTTTGCGGATGGTCCACGACCTTGCACAGTTTCGGAGGAACGTTTCGACAACAATCTTCTCTCCCTTCCACCTCTCTCTCTCTCTGTGACTCTCCGCTAAGAAGCAACGGAATTCTTCGGAAGGAAAGAGAGTACGACAGAGCAAGAGGGAGAGAGGGAGGGAGAGAGAGGAGGAGGAGAGACGGCTGAGGTCGTAAAAGAGTATGTATCGGCGCGCAAAGTCTCGACCTCGATCTCTCGCGGTAGGGGCACTTTCTTTCTCCAGGAGGGTCCAGGGCCGAGTTAAGGGTGCCTCAGGCCCTACCCGAACCATCTCCTAGTAGACCCTTTTTTGTCTCCTCGCTCGAACCCTTTACGCTTCATCTGTTCCTTTTCAGGCCCGTGTTCGTATCGAAGATGAAAACGCGAAAAGCAAACAAGGTAGGTAGGGAGGGAGGGGGAATTTTAATTAACCAAGCGCGCGATGGATCGGCGACCTCGTGAGGTCGAAGGAAGCACAGAAGACGCGGTAACCTCGTTACACAAAGAGACGGAGAAGCTAGGCGAAGCGCGTAGAATAGAAGAGGAGGAGGAGGAGGAGGAGAAGAAAGAAGAGAGGCAAAGGTGGACTCACCGTGCGAAAGGTTGTTCCTCGACCTCGTACAGCTCCTCGAGGGTCTCTTTCGAGAGAAGCCTCTCCAGTCTCTGGGGCGTGGGAGCGAGATGCCCTGGGATGCTGGTAGTCTCGAACAGGCTGTCCGCAGTCATGGCCGCTGCCGGGTCGACGGTATGTCAACCGAACGAGGAAAAACACGAATAATCCGAAAAATTCCTGGTTGATAGGTTGGCCAGCCACACGAGTCTCCGGCGTACAAGTCACACAAGAAGAAGTAGAAGGAGTCGAAGACGAAGAAAAGGAGCAAGACTACGAATTTCACTTGGGTAGGCTTGATCACAAACTACTCTCTCGTGTAAATATCCGTGTGCACACGAACGAGCGTTAGAAAGGAAGTGGGCAAAAAAAGGGAAGGTGTTTTCTCTGCTTCGGTCACTGCGTTTTAACACGGGGCTACGATTTACTCACGCCGACAACGGAACGGCGAACGAATCACCACGTCACTGTCGCGATTAGAGGCACGCATCTCCGAATCGAGAATCCTCCTGTTGCTGCTTCTACCGCACGTTTCGCCACGGTGGTCGGATAACAGTGCACGCACCGATCGCGAAACGAGGCACGCGCTTCTATCGTGCGAGCCTTATCACGCGCAACCACTCCTCGCGACGGTTGACTAACAATTGAACCTTCCGCCGCGACTTTGCGCGATCCCCACTCTCACGATTCTCGAGCGCCTTCGCTATCTCCAACATGGTGGGGAAAGTATATCCCCTCTTGGTTACTCGGCGACAGTACCCAACCGAACCGAACAGATCCGAGCCGCTACGAAACCGGCCGAACCGGCTTACTCGCGCACCAAGTTTCGAAGCAGCAGAGATACCCGCCACCGAGGCATGCACCGACCGACCGACCGACCAACCGACCGACCGACCGATCGACCATATCCCTCTCTCTCTCTCTCTCGCACCTCGTGTGCTCTCTCCGCGATTAATAAATAATATCGCGGACGCGCTTTTCGGTAAGGAGATCTCGAACACCGCAACCTGCCCCATTTTTGCCCGACTGACCCGGAGATTTCAACGCCGCGCTTTTCGAGCAGGACACGAAACGCGCCAAACGATAGCTGCACGTATGTGTACGCGTGTGCAGGAATAAAAGAGCCCGCAAAGTATGGAGAACGAGTAAATCGAATAGCTGACGATCGGTGGAGTAAACGGAACCTTGGGCCGGCGAAGGAACGCGGAGAGCCAGGAGGCTTGTAAAGCGTGCCGGGATCTTGTCAACCAGCGTACATGATTATGGCGAGCGAGCATGAATAATTGAATGTATAATTTATCGATTTCGCAGCGAAAGAGCAGCAGCGCGAGCCAGAGAAAGAGAGGGGTAATGCGCGCCTCTGCATTGTAGATCTCCTAATAAGTCGGTGCAGCTTCCAATGCCGAGATAAATCGGCTAATCTCGATAAGGATAACCGTTGTCTCCGCGCGATAACTATGACGTAGTTATCCCCGTTTCGTGACACGCGTCACTCACAATCAGACGTCGCGGAATTGGAAACTGATCGTATCGATCGATCTCGCGCGAATCCCTTTTTCCTCCAACGATAAGTCGGGGAATATTCCTTCTAGAGAGTAAAGGAATTATTTCCAGGCAAGTGTACGCGCCCAATGCGTAATATCCTATTAAGAAATTTCACCGGTTGGACGAACAATTTATCGAGCGCGTTTCTTAACAGGATCTTGCGAAACACGCGGACGAGTTTCCTAATCGAGTTATCTAGCGCTTCCGATGAGCCTACCTCACGCAATTAATGCATACCGTCCAGATAATATTTCCGTTTGAATGAAATTGATTTGTAAAATACGACCCGCACGATGCGTCCAGAATATCTGGTAATACCAGATTCAACTAGGTTACAGATAAGTAAGAGAAGCGAGTTTAATAGACTTTCGGTGGCGAGAGCTGGTTTCCCTCCACTTATCTCAACTCCAAACGTTCGCTACGAGCGAGAGAAAAATCCGCACCCCGTCCAGAGAAATTGTATAGCCTCTCCGAGAGCAGAGAAGGGAAACGTAACGAAAGGATAAGGCTGGAAGGTCAGGATGCGGTGCGTACAAGTTACGCGAGGTCGACTGGAGGGGTTAAGAACTTATCTCGAGAGCGACGAAGCATTGCAAACCTACCGGACGTACGTGTATATGTATACGGCGTATCGCGTTGGAAGGGCTTTCGAAAAGATAACGCCAAAGATAGCAAATACACATAGAGAAAGAGAGAGGGAGAGAGAGTGTGTGTGTTTCAGCGGACCCTTCCGCACCGCACCAACAAAAATCCACGGATCGTTCTACGCGTCCGTTCGTCCGTTCCGTGTACATCGGTCGGCGATGATGCGCGGCTGATTCATCGCGCGACGAGTAATCTACGCGTACAACCAGTTTTCTAGGATAGCAGTCGTAATCGATGATCCTGCGAAGCGTTGCGGCACACGCTGTATCATCGAGTCGAGCGAATGAAACGCCGTTTCCTTCCCGACGCCGATTTCACGGACATTCGAGTCCATTAATACCACCGGCAACAGCCAGTGACGTCTGTTCGCAACGATGATTAGCTTTAACCTGAAATCAGCGCGGTAATCGAGGCAAAGAGGCTATTCCGAGTTGATCTATCGACCGGTGCTGCGCTTCGTAGGAAATAATGTTTCTGCCAGGCAAGAAAAAGAACCGTATTTTTCCCTTTCGTCGCGGAACACGGCTGATTGAAATTGAACGTACCGGTTAATGATCGAGCGTTCGAGGAGAGGTTCTTTCGTTCTCCTCGTAACTCATCGATATCCGTTTTTCGAACCACGCGAGGACGCGCTCCTCTCCTCTAAGACACAAAGACGCGATTCCTTGCACCGCGTTTTCTCGCCGATGAAATACGGATAATTTGGCACGCGATCGCACGCGATCCCACGCGCGCCACCAAAGGACAACGAACGCGCTCGGAAACTATATGTACTCTCGGCGCGTGCATACGCGTTTCCTGCCGCTGCTCCTCCTTCGATCCTCTCTAACGGGTACGCCGTAGGACTTGTTTCCAGCGGTTTTTCCGAGCAGATGTGGATCGACAAGGAGGTCGCGATTTCGAGGGGATCCTGGTATAACTTTCCCTCCTACGCGTCGAGCAGAGGCTTCGAGGAAAGGAGAGGAGAGAGAAGAAGGCATGCGAGAGAGCCTTTCTAATCCGTCCGCCGAGGTGATGTTTTCGTGCCAGCTAGTAGATGGTAACGGAGTGCTGCCTAGCAGAAGGGGCAAGGACGGCCGAGGCCGACCATGCTCGGCAACATGGCAGGAAGTCAACTTGGAGAAAGAAAGAGAGGAAGCCGATCGACTAACACTGACAACTGCCTGGCCACTGTTGCCTCCACGCTTCTCTACCTTCTTCCCTTCAACCTAAGCCAAGTTAGATATCGAAAAAGGGACTGTTTCTGAAAGAAGGTAAAAGACGCGTCAGATATGGCTGGTATATCCTTTCCCACGTGCTTGTTTCTTGGAAAGAGTTCAGGAGCACGATGGAACATTGTAGGTAAACGAGGATATTATGTATAATTTCGAGCGAAGAATAGGTATGCTAGAACGGCCCAGATTCGTGGCACACATTATTATCGCTTATCACCCGAGTCTGGCAAAATCTCCTGCCCAATTTCTTTAACGACGCCTGCCTCGCTTGGTGCCGGATCCTTTGTTCGACGTCGCCCGCAAGCTATGTACTCCCGTTTTGGATTTGCGGACACCGATAAGGATCCCCAGATGCCGGAACGTTGTTGCTCGGACAGTCGTTTTAAAAGGCCATGTTTGCTCGACCGACGATCTTCGCCGATCTCGAACGAAGATCGGAACGCGACGTTTGCGAGGAAAGTAGACGGTGATTTGTCTTTGTCTACAGAGATAAGACGAAACGATATTCGTCCGTTTCTTCGAGCGAGCAATTTTTTCGTCGTTCTATTAACCCTCGAAACCCTTGAAAATCGCGCGTACGTCAAACACGTGATGCTCGACTAGACGGGGCCATAAATGAAGTCAGGATTAATGCGTGTCTGCGTTGCGTTCGTAAAGCAGGAGCACAGCTTGCCCCTCTCCCACCCTCGCAGGAGATTTATGCTGCCATTCGTGGCAAAAGTTATTGTTCCCATGGGGCTTTGTACGTTCCCCACGTGTTCGTAAACACTCGATAAACGCACATGCAGCACACGCAGGCGGTTAAGAACCACGGCGAAATCTTTTTCGTCTCTCCCTCCTCTTCCACGTAGAGTCACCGTGCAAAATTATCACGTGTTTTTCGTTCGGGACGGGTCACTGTTTGAACAACGTCCATTTCCATTCTCGTCTCTCCTCGTTGTTTCGTCCGCGGGGGAGAAATTCCTATTCCCCCCGGGCAGACGTCACGCGGTGTTATCTGTATTCAAGACATCCTTTGGTCGAAGGTAAATTCCGGCAGGAAGCTCGTGATTACGATCTGTTTCCTTCGGAAATAGGAGATATCGTGGGAGTACATATTTGGTGGACGACGCAGCCGAGTAGGCGAAATTGGAATTTCCTCGGGTACCGCTGGTATAGTCCGAGTATAACTGCATCTAGGCGAGGGAGGCTGTCTGTGAAAGTATGCCAGAATCGATCGGAAGGTTTGAACCTGATGGAAAAATACGTCTCGCCGGGGTTGAAATTCTATTGCGTGCTAACGCTTCCAGACGTGTGCACCCGCCCATGGCGAAACGACCCTCGCCGCGAGGCGAGGGTGTGAAAAAGGGAGCACGAGTGTAATGGAAGTGAACTCGTGCTCGTGCAACTGGATCACAGATGCCTATATTTATAAATATGTGCGTGTGGACGCGTGTGTCAGAAGCCAGGAAGAGGGTGGCGATGCGACGACACAAAGGACTTAATTGTATTGTCCGGTGACTCGCACGGTTTACACGGTCGACGGCCTGGAAATGGTTTACTCCTATCGTAGAGTACGCGTGGAAACATTTCGTTTGTCTCTAGGGAATCCGTATTACAACCATTCGTTCTCATTGACGATTACTTTGGCGAACTTGCTGTCTGCGTACAGCAGCTGGGGGAAATTCTGTTATTTACGGCCACGTTTCCCATTCGGACCGACTCTCTGCGTTAATTGCAATTGTCACACACGGACGAAGCTTTCCTCCGCCCAAAGAATTGCTCCCAGAGCTGAAAGGCAGGTGGAGAGACAAAGGAACTGCTCTCTGTCAATTTCGTTCTACCGTTTCATAGTTGCCGGTAGACAGGAAGTGAACGTGCTATCGTTGAAAAAATGTCTGCTGCGAATCCTCTTTGTCGAACCCCCGCGATGCATCCAGACGGAGCAGCGCGATATCTCGCGTCAAAGCAAGGGAGACGCGTTTATCCTGGTATTTTTGTATCAAAGACACGGCTGCCTCTTTGTCGGTAGCTTCAGCGGACGTATGCATACAGGTTTGCTCGATACCGAACGCAGAGGCTATCAAACTGGGTTCGAAACTGGCTCGGCGAAGGAACCAATACCCATCACCCAACTAATCTCTCTTCGAATCTTCCGGAGAATCAGAAATACCGGCTTACGACAGCTCCTGCCTATAGACTCGCGCAAACGTTAATATCCCGTAGAGATTTGAAGAAAGTGGCAAA